TTGTTTTCGCTCACCGATTGTTCCCCACCCGGGAAAATATAAGTGGGGGTGCCTTCACCCCCCGAAACCCCCCCCGCGGCCGGGGGGGGGGGGGGAATTCTGGGAGTTGAAGTCCACCCATCTGAAAGTTGCCAAGGTTGAGAAACACTGGTCTAGCACAATCAAAGCCCCATTCTATCCTATGCACGCTCACACGATGCCATGCAATCCAGGATCGCCATTTGAGAGTACCCTGCAAGCCAACAGACAACAATGTTGTCTACATTCCACCAACTAGGAGGTAAGTGCAGCTCATTCAGGATGGGTGCTTCAAAGAACAAAGAACAACGTATGAAGAGATGGGTGGGCCTGGCGAAACCCAAAATGGCTTGCAGGGACAGAAAAGAATGGGGAGATGTCATAAACGGTGTGGACGTAAATCGCTTTCAGCTGCTTCGTTCCCTTTTTTTAATCTCCTGCCTTTAGTTTCTTGGCTTCCTATTTCTTACTCCTTCCCTGTGCTTTCCATAACGTAGCTTATCCGGAAAGGCAACTGAGGGATTTACGGTTGTGCACAGATACGCAGATGTACGTATGTACGTCCCTGATGCGCCAAGGCTCTGTCTCACTTCAGATCGAGAAAAGAGTGAAAACCATATTGGTTTGTGAGGCCTTGAAATGTTATCAGGAGACCTTCTGGCCTCCCCAGCTTACTTGTAAAGCTGAAGAAATTCTGGGTAAGGATTCACAGGATCTAGCGGTCCATAAATCAGATGCACTGGAAGAGAGGAAGGACAACTTGTGGAAATGAAGACGCAAATGAAGACAAAGACCTCTGAGCTCTTCCCGCTCTTCTGCAGCCCATCCAAATCCCGAGGAGCCGTTCCTACTCACAGGGAACAGAGGTGGATTTAAGAGCTCCGATCCAGCGTTCTCTGTGCTGCTTCCGCTGGTTGATGTACTGTAAAAGGCTGAAAAGTAAAATTAAGGGGTAAAGGTTTGTTTGGAGCCCAAGGTAGAAATCAGTCTGAAGTTCCAAGTGCCAAGATAAGGAAACAAGGAAGGTGGCTCCCCAGACAGCTACGTACGCACCCCTCACACCCCTACATACACTTCTGGGGTCAGCAATGGAATGCAGAGGGCAGCAAAGAAGTATGACCTGGTAAGACGAGGAATTAAGGAGCGTGACATGAAAAAAAGGGAAGCATAGCTAAAACTAGTTCACACAAACACAATGCCATATACTTTCCTATCCTCACAAGCTATCCTCACTTCTACCCCATACATACAACACATTTACACATTGTCTTTAGTTCACTGAACTTCCCATCTCTCTTTTTGTAGACCTCACCAACTCTTCCTACCCCAACTTTCTCCGTCTTCCCCTTCCTCTTGACCCATCCACTCTTCCTTCCTAGGTTTGTTTTGAAAGTCAGCTCATATTCCCCAGCTGGCTGGGGAATTCTAGGAGGTGAAGTCCACACATCTTCAAGTGGTCAAGGTTGAGAAACACTGCCTTAACCACTTCCCCAAAGTGTCTCTCTTAGTCTCATTCCTTAACATTCACCAATTTGCTAAGTATTCCATTTATTCTCCATGCTTCCATCATCTCCCACCCAGATCACATTCAGCAACCAGCCTTCCCTCTATATTCACGCAAAACATTCCACATTTGAGAACTATGTCTTATGCCACCTATGTTGTGTGAACCAACGCGGCCTGCTTAGCAAGCCATGCCTTAGTGCCATGTGTGACTGGCATCACTCATGACTTGGTGCCAAGGGCACAAGTGACCCAGAATCCAAGCAAGCTTAGATAGTTCATCCATGAGTCTTCTAAGTTGAGCATGGTTTAAAGAATTACTCCAAGGGTTTCAGGCTGAGGTCTTCCCCAGCCCTTCCTGAAGAGACACGGGATTGAACCTGGAGCCTTCTGTGTCCAAACCATGTGCTCCAGCTCTAAGCCATGTCCCCTTCCTCAAAAGCTGATGCATTCTGCAGCTCTGAAAAGCGACAAAGCTTTGTTTGGGATAACTGAAAAGGACCAAGGTAGGGGAGAGGGAAGGGGTGTCAGGACTCAGCCGAGGGGCTCACGACATTTATGGAGCTCACCTGGTGGCTCGCTTAGCTGGTATCTCCTCACCTTCCCCTCAAGACTTGTTTTGGGTAACGGCCATAAAAGGCAGAACAGCAGCTCCCCCCGTAACTTCCAAAACAAAGCAGAAGCCTGGTCTCTGAAACAGGATCCCCCACTTTCGGCAGGGCTCGGAGGACAGCTGACATCTCCAGCACCAAGCCACAGGGATGGAAGAGACACTCAAGGTTTTCAAGGGCATGAAGAACAAGCAGGTATTCTGTAGTCCCCCCCAAGGTGACAACGTAAAAAGGCTGCTCAGCTGATTGCACCCCAGGTCTCAACCTTCTCCCCAACCGGGGACTTGCCATCACATTAAAACATGTTAAAAACCGGATTATGACAGATTTGAAGGCTGCTTTGAAGAAGCCGTATGCAGCTCCCCACCCCAAGCATAAAATGTCTTAATTCAAATCGGCTGCTTGGAACATTCTGAGCGTGAAGCAAAATCCTCGTGCTCCAAGAGTTTTGTCTGGACGTCAGAACAAAACGCTGCGTCTTTCGATCACCAAACGCACCTTGAAAGAGGTCCTTCCAACCTCCAGACCAGGCCACTGGAGCATTCAATTCACGTTTGGACTAAAACACAGCCATCCATTTCAAGCTCTGTTCCAACAGCCACTTTGACCTGCTGGGGGTCTCAGAAGGGCAAGGGCAAAAAAGGTTTTGGCCTTGTCATTTAGGTGGGTTAAGGCTGGGGAAAGGAACAGGAAGCTTCTAAAAGACAAAGCATGGCCCCTCCCTACCTTCACCCCCTCCCTGCAAAAAGACTAAGATGATTTCTGACATTGGGAACAGCAGGAACTGGGGGGAGAATCAAAAGGAAAAAAAGTGCGCCAGCAATGTTTGGCCATCCAAGTTCAGCTGGGCACACCTGGGAAGCTGGGGAACGCAAATGGATGATGGGGCATCCAGAGAGGGTCAAAAAAGTCAAAATGGGGGCCATGACTGTGTGACTGAAGTTCTGCCCCTTTTTTACATGCTTCAAAGCTTCAATTGCACAATCACAGCCACCATCTGATTTTTTTGAACCCCCCCCTCTCCACGGACACCCCTGGGTGCTCTGTGACTGGCCACAGGCGACTAAACTATATATTATACTGAAGGCTGGTGGACTGAAACATACATATAATAAATGAAAGGAGGTAGGTGGCAATACTAGCCAATCAGGGCTGATCACTAAAATAGCTAACTAGGGTGCAACGTGGGCTAAGACTTGGATAGGAGACCACTAGGAAATGCCAGGGCTTGACGCTCAGTGGGGAAGTTCAAACAAATCTCAGAAAAAAGAACACTTCAGCACCCATTGCCAAGAAAATGACAGTTGTGTCCATGAACTCCCCAGAAACTTGGTTTGACTCAAACAAGATTCTGCCTTGCCCTTGTTCAGAAAAGAAGCAAAGGCAGAGCCATGCTTAAGCAACAAAGAAGCCCAACTGTCCCCGAGCTCTGCATTTGGGGATCTAACGCCCTACCTGTCCACCACGAGGTTTCCATCGTTTGTTCGCATGACTGTCCACATGTCCCAGTATTCTGCCTCCGAAGGCTGGGTGTACGGGCCAAAGACTGCAGCGAGGCTGGAGGGATTCAAGACGGGATGGATCAGAAGCGAAGGACTCACACCCTGGAAGCATCCAGTTGATGCTCTCTCTCGATGACCGGCTCCCCAATCCAAATTTCTTTCTTTGTGTTTAAATACATTCCTATTTTTAGGACTCTAGGGAGATTATTTGAGGACCTTCATTCTAGAAAGTGTTTCTCGAACTTGGCCAACTTGAAGACATGTGGGCTTCAACCCCCAGAATTCCCCAGCCAGCATGGCTGGCTGGGGAATTCTGGGAGTTGAAGCCCACATGTCTTCAAGTTGGCCAAGTTCGAGAAACACTGTTCTAGAAGGACCAGAATCCAAAAACTTAAAATGCAAACTCACCTTTTGGCGAAGAAGAAATAGTTTGTAAGCCGAGTAATAATGGGTGAAAGCAGACCACCATCTTTGAGAATCTTAAAAGGGGGAGAGAAAAAATCAAGACTACGTTCTTATAGGACACCTGATGCAGTTTGTATGGGGAGGAAGAGGGGAAGCAAAGCAGGCCTGATGCAGCAAAGTTGAAGGGAAACACACCAGCTGCTAGCCAATAAAAAAAGTCCTTTCCGAAATTAAGATTCCTACTGCCACTCAGTTGAAGATCCTTTCATCTGGTTCCAAGTTTCGAAGCTGGCACATTTTGCCACATTATTTCTCCACGGCGGTTGAGGATCTCCAGATATCAGAGGAGAGAAAGATCAAGAGACAGGCCTTTCTAGCAAGACCGGTTCAGTTCAGAATGAAAGGATATAATCTGGCTTACAGATGAGATTTTTCAGTACAAATTTAATCCTCGCTTTCCACTCCTTTTCTTCCCCTCTCCTCCCGGTTGCCTTTTCTGCTGAATTAGTATCCCATGCAAGGAACTCTTTAGAAATTCTCAGAAATTCAACTGGGAACTTCTCATTGTGGAAAGCTTTATTGGCTGAATGTCCTGCTTCTGTTATTTATCAGCGTACCAAAGGTATAACAGAGGCATAAAACTGAACAGATAAAAGCTTTCCAGAAAGACGTACTAGAGGGAAACGATATTGTGCAAGGCTACTTGTTCAAAATAAGCCAGGAAATTACTGGGTTTCATTTGTTTTTAATAAAGAAATAAGACAGGACAATTATTTGAACTCTAAGCTACATCTACAGGCTATAACTAAACAAACAATTACAAATTAGAGTTCCAATTAAATCAAAGAGTTTCAAAGAAGGGATCAAGCCCAGCCACAAATATTTCAGAAAGTTTTAAGAATGCTACTATAAGGTATCAATAAATTTCATTAAGCAGCAGCCTTTGGGTGGAAAAAAACGCTCAGGGAGAACATTCAGGAAACGAAAAGGAGGTTGCCAACTCCTATTGCAACTCTCTTCCCTCCTCATACGCACAATTTCTTGTCCTAGTACTTCCACTTAATCTGCCTTTTTAAAATAAAAGCTGACTGTTGCAAAAAAGAAAATTCAGTGCCAGAGCTTGCAGACATAACACAGACAAAGCGGGATTTGTTTGGCTACGGGAAGATCCAAAAAAGGAAACAAAAAAGATATTCCAACCCAATCCTTAATAAGAGAAATCTTAAATTCAACTTGGCATTTTTCTGCAAAAGCAAATTACCTTCTGGATGAATCTGGGATAATGAGTTTCTGGAAAAATACCTGCAAGTTTCAAAAAGGAATTTAAATAAGACATTTGTCGTGACACTTTTTCATCTCATGAACACAATTTTTATCCAGATTGAGTGTGGCAGGAGATGTGGCCGAAACAGAGGATACAGCATCGGGTGAGTGGTAAAAAAGGCATATCCCAAAAGTTCAAGATTTAGTCCTTGGCATAGCGGCATCGAATTGCGGGGAGGAGGGGCAAAATAGGCAAGCTGATGGATACAGGTAGTCCTCACTTAACAACTATTTGTTTAACAACAGTCTGGTGTTACAACGGCCTTGGGAAAAGTGCTTTACGACCCCCACGGTCATGTGATCATGATTTGTGACCATTTTTACGATGGTCATTAAGCAAATCACCCCAGTCAGTAAGCAAATCACTTGGTTGTTAAGTGAATTAAGACAAAAAAGTCCATTGGGAAAGCTGGATTTGCTTAACGGCCATGTGATTCACTTAACGACCATGTGATTCACTTAATGACCATCGTAAAAAAGTTGCGAAATCCATTCCAATTTGCTTAGTGACCAAATCACTTAGCAACCTAAATTCTGGTCCCTATTATGGTTGGATAACAAAGCTACCTGTATGTACATGTGCAGTACCTGTAAAAGGGGCTGGGGCTTGGATCGTGATGCCACATCAGCCCTCTTGCTTGCTTGACTTCCCCCCATGGATGCCACTGCCCGAGCTGAGACTGAACCAACCATCTTACACTTCGAGTAACTTTTCAAGAGAAAGCGGTGGGAGATCTTTGCCATAAGTGACTCACCTCCATTTGACAGACACAGACTATTGATAAGGACGCATCCAGTTTTATTGTGTTCGTACCTGAAAGCAGAGAAAATGGTGTAAGATAGAGCTAAACGCAACAACTCACCAAGCTGGCTCATGTGCTTTTGGGGAAGTTCTGAGAACACTTTGCTTTTTTTTTTTAACAGCAATAAGAGGCATCACCTCGAGGGCTAGCTGGATTCCAGGTATATCTTAACCTTACACTACGGATACACTCAATCTCTTACCATAATGTTGAAATGCAATGTAATACAGGTAGTCCTTGTTTAGCGACCACAATTGGGACCAGCCACTTGGTCGTTAAGCAAAGCAGTCACTAAGTGAAACCACAACTGTGCTTATGATCTTCCTTCAGCTTTCCTTGGCTTTACAGACCTGCAAAGGTCATAAATGCGAGAACTGGTTGCAAAGGTTGAGAGGGCTGGCCTCCGTCGGCCTCTTGGATTTTTTATCTTTTTTTCTATCTGTGTAAGTGTGGTTCTTTTTTATAACTTTTAATTATGTATA